GGCCCGCACAAATAAAGTATTTCGTCTAAAAAGGACCATGAACGACTAACACCTTTAGACACGACGATATCCAGAATGTACGGCCTTCCGAAAACTCACAAAAATGGGCTATCCTTGCGTCCTATCTTGGAAATGAGAAACTTCCCTTATCACACCATTGCCTAGTGGCTGGTAGAAGAGCTGAATCCGCTTGGAAGTTACCTTTATCCTCGAAGCTTGATAGCCACCTTTGATTTTCTCAAAGCTATAAAGAATATGAACATTGGTGGAAGTTAGATGCTCTCATTGGATGTATCATCACTTTTTTCCAACGTACTTATCGTAGAAACCATAAACTACCCCTTTGACTGTATTTAGCACACGAACTATCAGAAAGATACGACAGTGAAAACCCTCAAAGAACAACTACTTTGCACACAAAATGTGCAATTATCCTGCAAAGGCCGGTTCTCCAAACAGATAGATGGTGTGGTGATGGGCTCACCGCTAGGCCTGTTTCTCGTTAATGTCTTTATGGGTGATATCGAGAAAATGAGTCTAAGGGACAGCATCAAGGATCTTGCATTTTAGGGTCGATATGTGTATGATATCTTCTGTCTGACGGACTACAACACTGACACTGACGTTCTGGTCGCGAGATTTAACAGTGCGCATCTATCGCTCAAGTATCCTTCAAAGACTGAGGTAGCTAATGGTGTCCTTCTGCGGAGGCACACTGATGGATCTATCCTGCGTATGGTATTTTAAAAGAAAACCTGGACGGGATAAAACATCAACTTTCATCGTTTTGCTCCCCTTGATAAAAAAGGAATCCAGTCAAGGGATTAGCAGCTAGAATACGACAAACCTGCTCTCCTGCAACTGTCGGAACAGAATTCCAACAGCTGCAGAACACACTTCTTGAAAATGGATGCGCAGAAATTTTCGTCCTCAGGAATATCGGCGAACGCGCCAAAAAGCCTGTTACCTTATCGGCAGAAAAGAAGAGCGTGTTCATAATACTGCCTTGCTTAGCCGATACAACAAGCGAGCTGGTAAGACGACGCCTGAATACTTTTATCACCAGCTCTTTCCCCGCAGCGAACTTACGCATGTTCTTTACGACCTCTCCCTTCCTACGACTGGTAGGTAAAGACTGACTCCTGTTGAAGGCCTCACCTATGTGCATTTACTATTTACCTTACTCCTATGGAGCAGGAAACATTGGCTGAACCACAAAGCGCCTGGAA